CTCTTCTTAATGCGGAAATAAAGTGTGATAAAGCATGAAGTTAGGGCGAATAGTGCACTTAATAAGTTCTTAAACCTAAGGAGGAATGAAAACAAAAATCAGTAGAAAATAACTCAATAAGCGTATATAATACTACTTAATGGACCAAATAAGTAAAAAGTTTGACGAGACAAAAAGGTCAATTTCATATATACATGCCCGCATTTTCTACGCATGCATGCATGTGAACATGCCTGACCTGGGCTCGAAACCAATTGTGAGTTGAGATTAAACGACAAAAAGCTTGAGTGATGCACGGAAAAAGTAGATTCTTCCTCACAATACCGTACCTACCTCAACTGAGTATCCTATCCTCATTAATTAATCCAAACAAAGAGTAAACAGAATGAAAGTTATTAATGTTAAAAGTAAGGGACAACCATGGAATTTGCTGCTTTACCCTCGGCGAAGGACCTTGTAGCCTTGGAGACGCTGAAGACTTACGGTCACTCAATTTTCCCTTTTGGGGCTGAGACCTGGAAATGGGTTGCTTCGGCAGAAACGGTCAACGTCAAATAGTCCTTAGGTGCAGGTGAAAAGTTTTCTTCTGAATCGCACGCACACACGCAAATGAACACACATACACATGTACATATGCCTACATGTCATTACATCTGAGTATACACTTGTAAAGGCATTGATGCATTCACTGTGTCTATATGCCCCTAGACGCACAGTGTTATCGGTAAGGTATAAGAGGCAGATGTATACATTCATACGTGTTCAAGTGTGTGTCTATTGTAGGAGACATACCAAAATGCAGAACAACCAGTTAGGAAGCTTCGAGAAGTCCAAGTAAAGCCATTGTCTATCGGATGGGCAAGTGGAGGTGCAGGTTAGATACAAGGCAGCAGAGAGATTGGCTTTTGAGGAGTGGGGTTCGTGTGAAATGTCGAGTCGCCAAGGTACCAGAAGTGTCGTGAGACGACAGAGATTGACTCGCTACAATGTCGGCCAGCCATGCAGACAGGCAGAAATGCGCAAACAGATAAAGACACAGACGAGAAGAGAACAGACAGGCAAATAATGGAGACGTCTGGTTGCCGGTACGAAGATGTACAGATAGGTGTAACAGGGTGTGGACACACCGCCGAATGGAGGCATGTGTTGTGGAGGTGAGAGAAATGCGACTCGAGGTGAAAAGTGGAATAAAAATGGGACAAACCGGCTCGGGGCAGGTGAGATGATGCAAAATGCAAAGTTATGATACGATTCTGTTGCTAATTCAACCGAGACAGGAGGGACGGTCTTCGAGTCTGGCAACAGGACGCCATGGCGACAGGCGGCACTCTGAAAGCTCGTATGGAGAAAATAAAGCAGGACACAGTAGAAC